GAAGAATGTAAACTATCTTGTTAGTTTCTATATTTATTACATGTCAAAATGATAGTATTTTACATAAAGTAGATTAAGTAATATCTGTTCTTAAAATCAGTTTCTAGTGTTTTTTTGTTTTGTTGTTTTTTACCTTTTTAAATGTGGCAACTGGGAAAATTTCTTTACATGGCTCTCATTTCATTCCTGTTAGACAGCCTGCCCTGGGACAGTCTCATCCCCTTGCTTATAGATGAGATGCTGAATCCCAAGACGCAGAACGAGGTGCTGGTTGAGCTGGGGGTGGAGCCGGTGTCTCCTGCCTACCAGGCCCAGCAGCTGCACGGCTCAGGCCCTCTCTCCCTGCCTGACAGCCACCATGCCAAGTTAGGACATCAGAAACACCGCCAGGGGCTTCCAAATGAGCTCCTTATGCAGGGAAAGTCATGTCACGGACTATGAGACAGAGCAGGGAAAGGTTCCTCCTCACTTTGTCCCTGTGATTAGGTCAACGGCTCCACTTTGCCTCGGAAGTGCAGACGAGCTCTTCTGGGCTGCCTAACCTTCACTCTCTGCTATGTTTCCCTGTGTATCTATTGTGCTGTCCCTCGGGCAGTAGAGGGTGAGATGCATTTGCCAGAGGTGGTCCCCCTTTGCTGTGGAGAGTGAGGGAAGCTGTGACCCCTGGCCTACGGCCTCGGGCCTTGAGTCTGGAGAGCGCTCATGGCGTTCCCACAGGTGACGGTAGGAGGACCTGGCAAGTGCTGCCGGGCCCGCTGTGGAGGGGGTGCTCTGTGATTCTTGAACTTACTAAGATCAGATCCTACTTTCTGGTTGTTGGTAAGTTGGAGGAGAAGATGCCAGAGAATTGAGAAAAAGAAAGTCCAGACCAGTCCTGTGAGTAACAGGCACAGGGGACCCGAGTGCCACATTCGTGTGGTGCCTGGCGGGCTCTGGATGAATTTTCAGTTCCTCCCCGGACATGCCTCTATGGCTTAAGGAAGGGGCGAGGCATGTCGTCGCCATGATCTGTACTTGTCCTCGCAGGACCCTGTGATCTACACGCCTGTGCTCCCCTTCTGCTCCTTGTAGACGAGTTGGTAGGTTTAGTGGCCTGGGCAAAGCTGAGGGCACAGCTGCCAGCACCGGGCCACTCCCAGGTTGGCTCCATTCACCTCACCTGTCACCTCCTGTTGAGCCCCCAGGCGTTAGTCAAGGTAGGTGCATCGGTGCAATGTAAGCAGGGACCACCTTCTTCCCCTGGACAGACTGCTGGGTGAGCAGTGGAAGCCTGGAGCCCTGCCCCAGCCCCTGGCCAGTGCCTCCTCTTTTGTCATAGGAAGCACTGGTGACATTTTTGCTAAGCAACTGCTTGGCTTTGAGTCTGCAGACCCACCAGAGAATGCCAGCTTGTTTTTGCCTTTTGAAGTCTGTCCTTGGGATTTGGCGGAGTAGCTGGATGTGTGCTTAGCCCATAGTGGTTGACACTGTCACCATTGTTTACCCAGAACCTCGTGTACCAGGCATGGCTCTCGGCATCAAAATATAGCAGCGCATTAAACCTCCCTCCTGGTGGGTCTGTCTGTTCTGGTACCATAAGGGCTCAGCCAGCATCTGAATGTCAGTGAGATAACGCGACCAGTGAGCTCGGGTCAAGCACATTCTCCTCCAGTCACTTTTACTCCATTGTTGCTTTTAATATTCCACAGTCATTAATTTTTAAAAAAAATGTTTTGGTGCAGGAGCAGAGCCTAATTCTCTCCTGCTACTCTTGGTGGGAGTGAGTAAAATTGTCCAGCTTGAAATGTGACCACATTTTGTAGCTCAAAAGCTGTCTACACGCATCTAGGTGAAGTTTTGGTTTGGGGCGCTGACCACGTTGGGGTCCCCTGGCAGCGCCGCTCCCCTCAGGCCCCTGCCTTCCCTGGAGCAGGAGGTGAGGGTGGGTCTCACCGTCCCCGCGTCCCTGTCTTCATCACACTCACGTAAATTCTTGTAAATGCTGTCAGTTATTTTTGTTTTCGTGTGTTTCTAATTTTCACTGTTCCTCTTTTCCTTTTTCTATTTTCCTTTTTCTCTTGTAACACCTGTGAGCATTTTGTTGGGTCTGAAAAGGGGGCTGTGCACTCCCTGCATTGGAAAAAGCCAGATCGCCCTCCGTGCTGTCTCCATCGCTTTAAAAAGCAAAAACTTAACAGATGCCTTGATCCATATATTATCCTAGTCATTTTATATTCTAGTTTTTTGGAATTTTTGCTCTGTTAGCATATCACCCACTGGTGTTTGATACCTGTTAAAATCTTTGCTTTGAGGAACCTGTTTGGTCCTCCTTATATTTGGTGACAAATGCGCCCTTATTTATTTT